CCAGTTGCAACAACAAGTCACTAGAAAATGCCAGGGGTACAATCTGTACCAGAAAGGGGTTGACAGGCGTGGAGCCATTTGCCATACAATCGGCTGTTGTGGCCAGGTAATGACTGAGAAGCTGGTAAGACTCGGCATCATAGCCAGGCAGCAGGGATAGGCTGCGCGGTAGCGCATTTCCCACTGAGACAGAGGTGACAAGGGCGTCACTGATAGGGAACCCCCCAGTAGCTGTTGATAGTCGGCGTTGATTATGGGTCTCTTCATGCAGCATCGTGCCTTCAGGCTGGTCTCCAGTAGTCACTGAGTGCCCTGCACTCGATGAAACAGATGGCGCTCGTTGCGATGAGGGACTCCTAGGCATCGACATTTCATCGAGCCCCTCAATGCCATCGAATATATTCGGTCGGCGCTCGTCTATCGCAGATACTTGAGCTTCGTCCTCAAGGCTGTCTCTCTTGCTAGATACATCTGGGGGCCACTGGCAGCCCAGGTCATTCCGCTGACAGCCAGCACAGATTGGACGTGTCTCATCACATTTCTTCTTGCGACGCCTGCAGGTCAAACAACCAGTTCTTACTCGGACGATTCGCTGCACTCGTCGATCTGGCGGCATTTTTGCTTCCAGGAGATCAGAAGAAGGCAGGACATTAGGGGATATCGGCACCAATCGTATCTCTGGGCAGAGATAAGAAAGTGTGGGGTAATCTTGGCCCGGCCAATGTACTTTAATGTTTAGAGAGGCGACAAAATACTGGCTTGATGATCTTTGTGTCTTTTTAATACTTTTAAAAGTCCTTTGATTCTATGCCTTAAAGCTCATTCGGCAACAAATCATCCATCATCACAGTTTCGTATTTATCTAGGAAACCCCTTGTCTTTCAGCTTCATCATGCTACACATCGTTATATGCAGCACTCAAGTACTGACTTTCCCAGAATATTTCTGGGAAAATCCCGAGCTAGTCCCAAGTTCTTCCCTAATAGTCCAAGTGTTATACAGCTCGAAATGACCGTGCGTTGACGAAAGGATGTTGTCAACGTTACATCGAACAAAAGGGAGACTAATCGGTATACGATCAGACCCGCTATGTGAACGAAATCCTTCATAGTTGGGCATCAGACAATATAAACCCGGCGGTCTAGACTAAACCCAACGTGAATCGGACATCCGAAGAAAACACCCGTGGACTTTAGATATGAAAGAATGTCAGCAAATCCCCGAGTAAAGGCTGCATAATTCCGGGATACTATGCAACCGATATAAACCAAAATGTTAGCCAATCAAAAACATCCCGGAACCGGGAGAACCCACCAACCGGTCTCTTAATGGAGTATATAGTATTGGCGATCGGCCAATACACGTGACCCCTGTGCCGAAGACCCGAAAACTGACACCTGAGGTGGCGAACGAAGCCACAAATATCGCGGTTCAGGCTTTTCTCCGCATGCACACTGCCCTAATGACAACTGAAGACGGGTCAGGCCGCTGGTATCAAGAAAATTTGTGATTAATAGAGGGGCAAATGGGGTCTGGCCAGGGGTCACCCAGCCAAGCTTTAATCACTAGCCAATCACTATGCTCATTGCAAATCGGAGAGGCGACTCTGGGTTTTCTTCTGGCGGTGTTAAGTTCCTTTTTGCTTTATCGCCGTTCGAACGGTTGGGAATATGCCGACTGCCTGAGGTTTTTATTTTATTTTTTATTCGTGTCTATTGATTTAATATAAAAACGGTTCCGTTGAAGTCTGGTTCGTTCTTTCCTAGTGACTCAAGTGTCGCGTGCACCTTTCTTTAGTTGGTTTTGCAGGTATAATTTTTTATTCTTTTCCCCAATTATTGCCGATTGATTCTACGTATGAGTATAATGTCAGATCTTAAAGAATCTGGCTCGACCAGATCACGGTCGACATCAATATCCAGTACCGATTCCGAGTTTCAGGCATCAAGAACACAGTCACGATCCCAGAGCTTGGCTGGTTCTCTGAGGACTAGGCTACGGTCTTTGTCAAATTCAGGAATGACTCAGGTGGATCGAATTTATTCGGGACGACATCTCAATGACCAGTCTGTATATCACAGCGACGATGGGTCCAACTGTGGTGAATCTAGCATTGAAAACGAGCAGAAGCCCGATACTATCCAAGAAGTGCGAAACGGAATTATGAACGAGCGCGATCTGGATCTAGAAAAGGCCGATGTTGCACAGCCCGACCTTGAGAAATCGAGGACGGCAAAGTCGAACCGGTCTCGTCACGACCCAAAACTGGTAGGTTGTTCCAGGTTCCCAAATCTGTACTGGGTACTAAATTGTATAGGTAACATGGGACGGTCCTGAAGACCCCGAAAACCCGAAAAACTGGAGCAACAAGAAGAAATGGGCTGCTACCATCACCGTATCACTATTCACATTCATCTCGCCGGTCTCTTCATCAATGGTTGCCCCGGCACTGCCATCACTGGCAGCGGACCTCAAAGTCACGGATGAGGTAGTCTCACAACTTATGCTCTCAATCTTCGTTCTGGCCTACGCTGTTGGTCCTTTATTCCTCGGCCCACTTTCAGAAATCTACGGCCGAACCATCGTTCTGCAGCTCGCCAACCTTTTCTTCCTGGTTTTTAACATCGGGTGTGCCGTATCGCAAACAAAAGTCCAAATGATCGTCTGCCGATTCTTCGCTGGACTAGGTGGCAGTGCCCCGCTAGCAGTAAGCAAAGCCCCAAGACTCCTCCCAAGAAAAGCTTATATCTAACAACATCTAGATTGGCGGCGGGGTCCTCTCAGATTGTTTCCGGGCTGAAGAGCGCGGAAAGGGAATCGCGATCTATAGTCTTGCGCCACTCCTGGGCCCAGCCCTCGGCCCCATCGCAGGAGGCTTCATCGCCGAAAACACAACCTGGCGATGGGTGTTCTATGCAACCTCAATAACCGACGGCCTAATCCAGCTAATGGGCCTCTTCTTCCTACGCGAGAGCTACGGCCCGAAAATTCTCCTTGACCGCGCCGTCCACCTGCGCAAAGAAACAGGCGACGATTCCTACCAAACAGAAGCAGAGCGCCAAAATAAGACCCTACTCGAAGTCCTGCGCAGCTCACTCATCCGTCCCTTCCGTCTCCTCTTCACTCAGCCAATTGTCCAAGTCCTCGCCTTATTCATGGCCTACATCTATGGAATCATGTATCTCGTCCTCTCCACATTCCCCACCCTCTGGACAAGCCCAAACTACTACAACGAATCGACCGGTATCGGCGGTCTGAACTACATCTCTCTCGGACTGGGCTTCTGGCTCGGCTCGCAGATCTGCGCCCCGCTCAACGACCGCATCTATCGCCAGCTCAAGGCCCGCAATGGCGGTGTCGGAAAACCGGAGTTCCGCGTCCCACTGCTCTTCGTCGGCGCCTTCTTTATCCCTGTTGGCTTGTTCATCTATGGCTGGACCGCTGAGTCCCACTGCCATTGGATTGCACCAAACATCGGCGCTGTACTGTTTGGCACTGGCAATATTATTGCCTTCCAGTGTATCCAGACTTATATGGTTGATACATATACACGGTTTGCGGCTAGTGCGCTTGCTGCTGGTGCATTCCTTCGCTCGTTAGCTGGGTTTGGGTTTCCACTTTTCGCACCGTACATGTATAGTGCTTTGAAATATGGGTGGGGTAACAGTTTGTTGGCATTCGTGGCTATTGTTATTGGGGTACCAGCGCCCGTGTTTTTGTGGAAGTTTGGCGAGACGTTGAGAAAAAAGAGTACGTTTGCGGCTGGCTAGGCTATTGACAGATTGCTTTAAGTTTTCGTTGTATCTAGATTAGATAGTTGCTAACTTAATATTTAATTCTTTTACGATCAAACTAAGAAATTATGGTGAGTATGGCTTTTTTTGGCATATGTCCGAAGGTGTTATCGCAATGCCTCGGCTATCCCAGAACACAGCTCGGATCACTAGTTAACTCAGAGGTCAGCTCACTAGCATGTCCATTCCTGGCCGCCTTTGCGAGAGCCTTTCCAAGATTCTTCCTTCTGGTTTTGCAGAGTGAGCTGTTATTGATTGATTTTGAGGCTGTTTGAATGGAACCATTGTTTGACGCCCACCTGAGTGCGCTCATATCATGGAGCCAGGCATCAGTTCGATACAGGAATGCAGTCAGATTGTTACACAAATAACAGCTTGCTCGAACTAATGAGTTGATGTCTCGGGTGTTCTTTAATTCATTTGCGATCGCAAGCAGAATTTCCGCTGGTAGGTTCTCCAGGTTGGGCCTATGATACGAATATTCTTTGGCTCTAGCGAACATCAACATCTGATCTCGGGACGCTAAACTACATAAGTAAATTTGTTAGCGTGCTTACGCTATATCATACCGAGCACTAGAATACAGATAGCTCTCCACTGCGGATCATATCGTAGAAATGCTCGTGCTTTGAAGGGGCTAGGTTGGGTGCCATTCTGATTTGACCACTCGTGATTGACTGTTATGATCTCCCCGTACCAGGTTTTCAAAGTGGGGTATCGAGGTCTCAGATGCATGTAGTAGTGTTACGAGTGAATACACCCCGCCATATGTCTATGTCCTGGTTACTACGCGTAAGAAACAATACAGGCTCCACTGATAGGGGTGCTCTAGAGACACTCCCAATATAGACTAGTCTGCCTTGGCAGTTAGGGTTTGAGAAAGAATCGAAGAGTATAAGTGGTGACACCAGTTTCAAAAACTACTGTAGAATTCCGTCTGAATGCACTCTTTTTATCCGAAGAATTGGCTCGGTGTCACACCTTTAGGTATAGAGGATCGATCATCTCCCCTACGAGATATGGAGAGCATTTAGAGAAACACTAGACATGGCATGTGATAACTAGCGATGCTAACCAAGAAATCTCATTATGTGGACAGCGTTAGTAGACTTTGTACAGAGGACTGCTGCCAAAATGATAATCCATAAGATCAATGCCCATGGTCAGACATCGTAGTTGCTTACAGGGCTTCAATTCGCTAATTTTTCACCTAATTGGGGCTGTGGCGCAATTGGTAGCGCGTGGTAAGTTCATCTGATTGAGTCTTTCAAATCGATTCAATTCTAACATCTTAATAGCGACTCCAGTTCGCAAGGTTATCTGGTCGAGACGGGTCAGCCTCAACATCTTTTTTTTGGAACTTTTTTGTGTACTTGCGCCAGATGTAAACTTTGACCATTATATTGTAATAGTATAGGTAGCCAGCTGGCTTAGAGTACTATGTAGGCGGCAATGTGGCACCAAGTTGGGGCTGTGGCGCAATTGGTAGCGCGTGCGACTCCAGTTCGCAAGGTTATCTGGTCGAGACGGGTCAGCCTCATCTCCTTTTTTTTTGCATTTTTATTATTCTTATGAGCTATTCCTACACTCCTGGGTGGTGGATAGTGAAACACTTTTGCCTAAATATCTATGTGTATGGGACTCATTACCCAATAAGCTAGCCACTGGTAACATCTCCTAGACAAGTCACCCCTATAGCACATTCAAGGTTATTGATACCTATGGCTAAATCAAAATTAGATATATAAACAAGAGTGTTGTGGGAACTTTATAAAAAATCTGAACATACATAACTGAATAGTCAGGTCGTTCCCGAGGTCCGTGTGCCCAACCTTGGAACCTCATTGACAAAGGAAGAAACCTTGCTGACCTCGGGAAGCCAAGGGTATGCCGGCGACAAGCACTCCTTATGGCTGCTCGAGCCTCGGGATCTCCGATCGTGGGTATAACGTATTTCACTCCCGAGCCGCCACCACCACCGAGCCGCCACCCCAACCTAACATATTAAATTTAAATGCATTTATCTCAACCATAACGCCATTAAATTAAATCAACTAACTAACTGGTCTATCTGGACATGTTTCTCTTCTATGTCCTGGTAATCTGTATATTCCATACCCCCCGGGGGGAGGGCGTACGTAGCTGGATGGCCGATTCTCTAGGTATGCTAGGGCCGGGGTGAGGTGCTTCAGTTGCTTCCTGTTGCTATATAATTAATGCAGAGGCTTCTTGAACTGAAAGGCCTTCTTTAGCGGGTATCTGCCTCCGAGGTCTAGCACGCTTTTGCTTCTGCTTCTCGTTGGTGGCGCGTAATTCCTTGTTTTTGTTAGCGAGTAAGATAGCGCCTTGTATTGTAAGACGGAAGCCCTTTATAAGCTGGTTTAATTTACGACCTGACGGGCTAGGTGGGCTCCGAGATCTTATACGAAGTAAAGCTTTAATTGATGAAGCTTGCCGATGTAGTTCTTTCTCTATAAAGGGGGATTTTGGGGTGAAATTCCGGCTTGATTCACTATCCCGGCTAGATGGGGGGGTCGGGGTTCGAAGCCGGATATTGAGCTTAGAAATCACTCGGTCGGGTCCAAATAGTACTAAACCGGTAGCTACGAAGCTATTTTTAATAGTCTCTGATTTAAAAGCTTTAATCCGTACCTAGGTTGAATAATTTCTGTTGGAGACCTGGGGGGTCCCAAACCATTAGGAGATGCACGGGCCTACGCCTGATGTGGAGGAAGTCCCTTGGCTAAACCATTTTTGAACGGTCAAGTGCGTTGGACATTTGATGACAATTCCACCATTTTCCTTCAGTTGACCAAAATTTTTGGAGCCTTTTGTGAACGGGTTAATCGATTAGTTACTAGAGTTGTTTCCTGAGTTATATAATATGTAATTCTGGATCCAGGCAGTAATACGGACAAGTGTATTCCAGGTACTCGGGCATAACCCGACCCCTTCTCTTGTCTCTAGATAGGTATTTAAACATACCCATCTGATTCCCATGCTCTTTTACCTTTTCTTTAATCAATCAATCTTCTGCCAAATGCAATTGGTTCCCCTTGATAGAATAGACCCTCAAAACGCATACAATGCAATACTGTCTTAGCTTGCTTTGACACTCGCTAATAAATGGTAATTTATGAAAGGAGCCGGTTATCGTTTGGGTGGAGGACCTACGCGCGAGTCCGTAATAAATGTAATTTATGAAAGGGACCGGTTAGGTTCGTTCCGCCCTCCCTGTCGCGCCAGATCTAGCTTGCTATTTCCACCACTTCTCTTTCTGTTACCTGATTGTGTGAAGCTTGACTACAGTGTCTTTCTGATTCTTGCCCCCTCAAGACAAGACGTGAAGAGGCCACGGCTGAGTCTCCTCAACTGTGGATGGATTACATATCCTTACAGCCAACATATCAATGTTTGTTGTTGCGTGGATTGACCATCTGCTGTTGGTCGCATAAGTCAGTAATACACTGAAACATGGCACTCTACAACAGACCAACACTTGGGCATAGCCTAGTTATAGGGAGTGGGGAAGTCAGCAACAACAAGACATTACCACAGCGAAGCCAGCCTATCATACGTGTACGGGTGACATTACCCCGCGTTGGATAATTCAGCTGCGGCTTTGCGCAAGGCTGTCTGTCCTTTCCTTCAACAAGTTAGATTGCGGGCGATGTGGCTGCAAGCTGACAAACAGGAAAAACCCTGAAATTCAAACAGCATCGCAATTTCCTCTATCAATTTTCTTACCATGCATACATAGAGTCAACGAAAACAATGGAAGCCCTCGCAGTGGTAGGTCTGGTCTCGAACATCATATGTTTCGTCCAAACTGGCTCGAAACTCGTAAAACGCATCCAAGACTATAACTCCAACATTGCGGAGCTACCGAGTGCCTTTAAAGGCGTCAGCCTTCGACTGCCACTACTTATTGAAATAATCGACAGAACTAAAGCTCAAGCAGAATCTGGGAAATTCACAGTATCGACCCAGGACGCTCTTCAGGCGGTCGTGGAAGACTGCAATAGACAAATCGAGTCTCTTGACAATATCTTCACGAAGATACTGCCAGATACCTCTGACACGAGCTGGAAACGCAAACGGAAAGCATTGTCCAGCGTCGCGAAAGAAAGTAAAATCGAGCAGATTTCACGAATTCTGCAGGGCCACGTGCTGATCTTGACATATCATCAAGCTATGGGTGTGGTTACGCCTGTAGCCGACAAACCGGTCGTTGACACGGTCTTCTTTGTTCCCTTTACCAGAGACCCAAATTTCGTCGGTCGAGCTGATGTATTCGACGAGATTGATCGGCGATTCAAGTCCGAAAGTCGTGTCTCACTTGCTGGTATAGGAGGTGTAGGGTGAGTTTCAGCATCCCAGCCAGTTAGAAAAAGTGTAGGCGCCCTAAACTAACACACAGGACAGAAAGTCTCAAATTGCACTGGAGTATTCCTTCCGGTTTCGGGACCTCTATCCCACAAGCAATGTCCTTTGGATACATGCTAGCACCGGAGCAAGATTTACGCAGGGAATCGACGATATTGCTGGGGCTTTATGCATACCTGGTTGGGATGATCCCAATGTGGACAATGCGAAACTGGTCTCGGCACATCTCTCAGATGCCCCCACGCCCTGGCTGCTCATTCTAGATAACGTGGACGACATAAGTATGCTGGACGATACGGAGCCTGCCAGTCTTCCGCCGGGTGCGAAGCAGCCTAGGTCCTTGAGCAAATTTTTAAACTGCAGTCATAACGGCAATGTGATTATTACAACCAGAGACAAACGTATTGGGATGCGGTTGTTTGAGAATACGAATCCCATCATGATACCACCATTGGATCGAGAAGAGGCGAGATTCATGCTCTGTTCAAAGCTCTCCCGGGAGCAGGACTGGGATAATCCTACAATTGGCAAAATACTAGACATGTTGGGAGATCTTCCCCTGGCCTTGAAGCAAACGACGGCTTTTATTAACGAGAACGACATCACGATTGAAGAATATTTGAGGCTTCTTCGCGGAGGGGAGAAGGAGGCTCGCAGCCTTTTGGGAGACAGGACTCGAGACTCGCGACGGTACTTTGGTGCTGAAAACTCTATCTTACATACCTGGAAACTGTCTTTCGACATAATTTCTAAACGAAGCCCACGAGCAGCCAATATCTTATTCCTTATGTCGAGGATGGACAGGCAAGGTATTCCTGCAATGCTACTGCATCAAGTCGATGAAAGCTACTCTACATTCACGCAGGCCATCGGTGTCTTAAAGGCTTTCTCCTTGATCGAAGAGGAAAAAGACACCTCGACATATGGGATGCACCGACTCGTACAGGTATCCGTCCGCATGTGGCTAGAGGTTCAAGGAAGCGAAAGGCGATGGCAAGAGGAGGCACTTTCAGTCCTGTCAACCTGTTTCCCGGATGGCGAGTATGAAAGCTGGAAAGTCTGCAGCATGTTGGCGCCACATGTACAAGCCGTAACCGCTTACGAATGGTCGACTGAAGCCCCAAAGTTGCAGTGCGCTAGATTGAACCAAAGATCTGCGCGCTACTGCGAAACTCGAGGCTTTTATCTGGATGCTTACCGAAAATATACAATGGCCCTGGAAACGTGTCAGGAAATCCTTGGGTCTACCTCCAATGACGTGAGGAAATGCAAAAGTGGCTTGGCGAGTGTTCTTCGACTGCAGGGACTCTACGAACCGGCAGCAGCGATCTATCTAGAGATTTTGACAGAGCGGGAGGGGACGCTGGACGCAGACGACGCAGACACTATATCCAGCATGAGTGATTATGCACTTGTGCTTGGACATCAGGGAGACTTTGCCGCGTCCGAGCGAATCAACCGTAAAGCACTAGAAGCTCGAGAAAAGTCTCTTGGATGGACACATCCGGATACACTCACAAGTGCTAATAGTCTTGCCCTGACTCTCGATTATCAAGGTAAGTACGATGAGGCAGAGAAGCTCAGTCGTCAAGCTTTGGAGGGAAGAAGAACGATTCTTGGAGAGCTGCACCCTCGTACGTTATGGAGCATGCGCCATTTGGCCCTGGTTCTTGGCTACCAAGGCAAGATTGCGGAAGCAGAATCCCTGCACATCCTAGCTTTGCAAGGCAGACAGGAAGTCCTCGGGGATAACCATCCAGATACCCTTATGAGTTTTACAAGCCTAGCATGGGTCCTTCGACATCGCCAGAGCTACGCAGAAGCCGAAAATCTAGATCGCAAAACCCTGCGTCGCAAACAAGATATCCTCGGACGGGAACATAACATCACGCTCGCGAGTATGACAAGCTTGGCTGATAGTCTTCGCTGCCAGGGAAAACTTGGAGAAGCGGCGTCGCTGTACGTCGAAGCTTTGGACATTTATAAGAGGACTCTTGGCTGGCGGCATGCGCATACCCTTACTACGGCGAGCGAATACGGCCTCACTCTGCAAAAGCAAGGACGATATGATGATGCTGAGGTTATATTCCGTCAGGCGCTGGAGGGGAAGAAGTTGGCTCTAGGATTGCGTCATCCTGCTACGCAGGAAAATCTTAGGGCATTGGCAAGGAACTACGAACTAAAGGGACAGTCTAGACGTGCTAGAGCACTGCTGCTCTCTATGAAGTTCCCATGGTGGGAAGATGTTTGGCCTACTCAAGGAATTTCTAAGAGAAGGGCATTTGTTCTATTTGTCATCCTCGTAACCCTTGCGGCTCTATATTATCTCTCAAAGAACCGGAGATCGTCTCTTCAGGCTTAAGGTTGTTCGGTGCTATCTTTACTTTTATTTCTCAATATTTGGACTGCAAGCCACATCTGTACTACTGATCCTCATTTCATCCATCGTTCGCAAGCATATCACACAAGCTGATAATGAAACTCCTTTCGAATACTGCTAGCCAATCGAAGTAATTCCGTCCGACTATCCTTGCACCCAATAATAAAAGAAGCTATCCACCTCAACGTCCCCGTCTCCGGACCGGGCACCTGTTGCCCACGCTGGAACAAGGCATGGCTTTCGACCACATCAGTCATCAAATCAGGCCGCCGCTTCTCAAGGTCTTTTATCGGATTCTCGGAATTGAATACCCCAGTTCTCACTGCTGGTATGAATGTCACTGCGCAGTGGTATTGGGCACCAGAGAGGAACGGCGTCGCCAGCGATCTAATTCTTTGCTTGTCGTCCAACGCAAAAAGCATTTGTAGTGCATAGTAGTCCACGCCATAGACGTGTCGAGTGGCATGATTAACCTGAAATCCAGGACACCTGGCATTGACCTCAATGAGAAAAACGCTCGGTTTCGACGATGGGGGCTCAGAAGTCGGACGAAGGTCAACGAGGCCGTCCTCGTCAGATAGATACGCTTTCCCTGAATTTTCAACACGAGCTTCGACGTGAAATACACCTGAGTGGAATCCCAAGGCGCGGAGAACGCGGAGCATAGACTCACGCACCAAGACCTGCTCATCGGAAGGGAGAGAAGAAGGGTACACATTCTGGGTCTCGATAAACGATGCCGTAGGTTTGAGGGTCTCCATGTCCGCTGATGATGGGAAGTCGTCACAAATCTCGAAGAAAAGTATCTCTCCATCCAACAGCACGAAATTGGCATCTACTTCAGGGCCATTTGCGTAGCGTTCGATGACCACGGCGGGCTTCTCTCCACTGCATGCTTTTTCGACCGCTGCGTAAAGTTCCTGCAAGGAATCCACCTTGGTTACGCCGTGAGAACCGGAGCTTGCGTGAGGCTTGACGATGAGAGGGAATGAAATCAGAGACATTTGCATGTCGAGCTGTACACGAAGCTCGGCGGTGCTGGAAACCGATATAGCTGCGAACTTCGAGTCAGCATTTAAGTCTGAGGCCACCTGGCGAGTCTGGTATTTGTTGGAGCTGGCTGCGAAAGCAACCGCGGGAGCAGACGTGGGAAGGGCTAGGAGTTGAGCTGCTTTTGCAGTCGGCACAAGATATGAATCAGAAAATGTCACCAAGCCATCAATGGATTCCTTGGACTGTCTGATTGCATGGACTATCCGATCTGGAAGAGTTTCGTTGACGGTGAGATCGATAGGGATGAACTTGTCCCATAGGTTTGCGAATTCTGGGGACTGCAGCCAATGACCTGGCTTGTCAAGTATGACAAGCGAAATACCGAGAGTCTTCGCAGCATGAAAGCTTGCGGCGCGGAACATATAACTAAATCCACCTTCCACGACCCCAAGTCGCATCCTTGTGACTGGTGACGATGATAACCACGAAAATGATAGTCTATCGCGCGATTCGTCCTCTAAATCTCTCAGTATCTTCTCGACAGCATGCAAATCCTGCCCTGTGGCAACTATCCCACCAACTAGCGATGGGAGGAAAGACAACAGGCCGCCTTCCTTCACATAGGGCAGAACAGGTGCTTCAACACGTTGACCTGGCTCAAGAAAGTGAGTGATCCTTTCCACGTGCTCGCAGTCCACGAACCGTTGCCCTAGGAAATCCGACTGGAGCACAAAGCCCTCCGTGCCTGTCATAACCAGTTTGAGGGCTATGGTTTGCATATGCTTGTGGGCGAGGATGAATGCATCCCTGAAAAAGATAACGGCTTTCTGGGTGTGGGGTTGCCGATTGGTGTCATTGGCAACTTTCTCTTCGACATTCAGCCAAGTCCCAGCCTCTTTTGAAGACAAGGTGCTGTGAGAGATAGAGCTCTGCTTTGCTAAGATGATGATGTCGATGGTATGGAATGGCGTGCCGATGTCTTGGACTTCATTCAGAGTCCAGCGAAACGGTATCTGAACTGAGATATTATCAGTAGCATATTTTTTCGACGTACATGTAACTTATACCAGCCTGCTCATCCATCGTGATAATAAATGCTTCAGTAAAGACTTCCATCGCCATGTCTTTCTTGACTAGGTTGTGTGACTTGCAAGGCTCTGAGGGTTTGGATTCTTCGAGTTAGCGCCGATAGACGTGAGCGCAGGATGTGTCACTATCCTTAAGCGTACGTGGACTACAACCCTAAAAGGACCGTAGTCAACATTACATAATAGCAGTTTATTGGGTATCGATTGGGCATCCAAGGTCAACGCTAAGCAGGATGCAATAGGCAGTACTATCCAACCAAGCCAACGCCAGCACAGTCGCGAGGGCACGTGTCCAGTCCGTACACGGTGGGCTGCTGAGGCTCTGGTAAAAACTAGGTACTTATGCTGCGGGGTTTCCAGTAATAAAACTGGCCGCTTACCCTCGGAGCATATTCTACAATCGAGTCCTAGTTCAGCTCGACATATTCTATCTCAGTAATAATCATGGCAGCGTCATTCATATTGCTCAACGGCTTTCCAACTGCCAAGAAACTCGAGGTGGCCAAAGAGCTCTCGTATGTTCCCATTCGAGATGTACCTACAAGTACGGGCCTGACCGTACAGGAACATCATCGCCGAGTCAAGAATCGTGGATAATCATGGTCTTATCGAGAAAGTCGACAAGATCTATGATAGGTCAGTCCACGAACATGGGGAGTTGTTAGGAGATCTTGTATGTACATACTCGGGACATGTTCTAGGCCGATGATGTCTAACTAAATGTCTATCTTACAGTTGAAAAGCATTTTAAGATCCATTGCTGAAAGCTCGTCCACCCAAGGCGTCACTTGGATATTTGCAGATAAGCATTCTTCCAGCGATATAGCCTCACAAGCTGCACATGAATATTCGGCAGCAGCAGCTTCACGTGCGTCACCGTTTTTCTGTGTTACCTTAAATGATAAAGTCGAGCGTGCTGATGGAGATCCCAATGTCGAGGACGTGGACGCTTTTCATCACATAGGAGGCGGGTTTGAATTGCAGATCGACATAACGGATATGTCCGCTTCTCAGGTTGCACAGCATATCCTTGAGTTCATGGGTAGGGACGGAGCTCCTTACATAAATGAGGAAAATGCTGAAATTCGACATACAGAAAAATGTACCAATAACGTCGTTGAGCAGCCCGTAGAAGTTGGACCACACAGTTTTGGAGATATCGCCGGCTTTAAACATGTCTTTATCAAGGACGCAGTGTCAGGACGACACGAAAGAGTTGTCGATCTGCTTTGCTGGTTGAAATCGAGACCGCGAAATCACGGGGGGCTGATCTTTCTCGATGTGGTTGATAGCACGGGATCAGTCCAGGTCATCGTATCAGGCGAAGCCGCGGGTCAGCCGTCTGTCCTGCAGAACCTCATTGCAGAATCGAGTTTGGAAGTATCGGGGACGCTTTCGAAACGCAAATCTCAGGTTGAAATCATTGCGACCAGAGTCCAGGTCGTGCAACGCGCGACCAGACGCATGAACCCGAGTGTCCGAGCATTAGATACGAGCATCCTTGCGTCGAAGAATGTGGACAAACTCCTAAGCATGCGCCACATCTATCTCCGAAATCCGATTCTGTTAATTCTTAACGAGCTCCGCTCCCATACTTTGTATGTGGTCCGCTGCTGGTTCGAGAAGCACCGGTTCAATGATTTCAGCGCTCCTCTAATTACGCCATCGCTGCTCTATGATCCAACCAGCGCGATCCACTTAGCCAACTTGAATAAAAATCGACCGCTATACCTGTCCCAATGTGCAGGATTTTACCTCGAAGCAGGCGCGCATGCGCACGAACGAGTGTACAACCTAGGTCCCAGCTTCCGTAACGAGAGCCGCACGAATAGGCACCTGATGGAGTACTGGCACATCAAGGCGGAACTGTGTTCTGGGAAGATGGATGACATCATCATCTTGGTCGAGCTATTTCTACGAGACATCAGTCATGCAACGGTACACCACAGAGCTAGGGTCCAGTCGATGCTTGGTGCAGAAGAACATCAACTTCATTACCCGTTCAAGCGCATCCGTTACTCCCTGGCAGTACAAAAATTGCAGGAGAATAACGTCAAGATTAAATTTGGAGATAACATTTCCAAGCTTCACGAGGAATGGCTCACGAAAGATAATGGAGACGCCCCTCTCTGGATCACGCATAAACCGAAAGGTCTAGAACCATTCCCGTATTCTTTGGATCCAGACAACGACGAACTCACAATGACAGCTGATCTCATTGCTCCTTACGGCTTTGGCGAGATCTGTGGTGTAGCAGAGAAGTCCTTTGCAATGGAGACCCTGGACAGGAGATTAGGAGAAATGGGAAAACTCGACCAATTCGACATGTACGACTGGGTGCGTGATATGAGGAACTTCGGCATGGTCCCTCATACTGCGTTCGGTATGGGATTTGAGAGGCTTCTTCGCTGGCTATGTGGTACCCATCACGTTAGAGATGTTATTCCATTCCCTAGGATCTTCGGGCGAGAGCCAATACCCTAGTGGAAGCTGACGAGGTAAGGCTTGTATCTGGCCTCTGATATATTGGCGTCGATATTTAGACTTGAAATCTAGACCGTAGTTCGCGGGTCATCTCATGAAGCTCTTTCGCAGGATATGAAGTAGAACCCAGCCGTGTCGAGATAGACCCACGGTATAACTCGTGGAAGTCCTCCTTCAGTGGTGATTTAAGGAGTTCACGGTCAGTTGTATGAATGTGCACTGGCACGAGCTTGGCGTGTGTATAATCAATCTCTAAACCCTCAAAGAACATGCCGCACATCTCCAGGTTCAGGGATCGTTTCAACAGCATAGCAACGCTACAAGTGGCCTCAACAAGGGCATTGTAATCATCAGTATCGAGGCTGAAGATATCGCTGGATGTGTGTTTCCTTGGCACCAGTACCGTAAAGCCTGGAGTGTTTGCAAAGGGTGTAAGGAATGCGACATGTGATGAATTTTCCCAGACACGCCATTGCGGTAATCCGCCTCTGATAATGCGTGTGAAAAGATTGTTGTCTGTCAGGTCTCCGTGGAAATTTGTATCGAAGTCATCATGTGATAATCCTGATTTTGCAGTGATGCACTTCTGCATGTCGTCTAATTCCTCTTTGTTGAGTTCGGGCCCACTTTTGGTCGAGAGATAGCCGGGAAATTCCTTATGAAACTCCTTCTCACTATCCAAGATGGCAGACCATGATGCTTGGAGCCCGTGAAGTGGAATGACATGGAGCAACTTATCTCCATCGTATGCCATCCCGCAACGCTTACTAGAGGTGACGTCACGAAGGTTGCGAGCAATCTGTCGGATGACCTCCAAAACGTGTTTTGTTTCGGCTGTATTGATGAACAGTGGACTAGCGAGATTTACAATAACGTGTCCTGGTGTTGTTGGCTCGCTTGTCAGGGCGGCTGTCAATTCTCTGTTCTGAATGAAGACATATTCGTCCAGCAGAGTGTCAGACATGGTCTGGTCGCCGCCGCAAAAAAAAGGGAAAAAAGAAAAAAAGAAACTTGTTGTTCAGCGATAGCGGCTCCCCAGAGTCAATGGCTGCTATGTGAAAAAGGCTTTGGTGGCGATGGCATGTCGTACAGGTGGTCACGTGGTCTGGAGAAAAAAATACAGTGATTAGTATGATCCTCCTGCTCACTGTTAAGGAAATAGGAAATACACGAGTGCACAATAAGTGGATGACACGGACCCACACCGCGGATTTGGGTTCCTCGCGCTACGTCTTGTATCTAGAGTCAACTCTATTGTAGTTGTCCTAGTATTAATTATTCAGTCTTGAACCCACTGTCCTCATCCACGGATACGTGAGATCCTCACCCTCACTCGTCCCAAGTTGATTATATAAAACCTACTTCCAACCTGGGTTTAGTTAGACAATGGCTCTAACGTGTTACATAAGATAACATTTAACTGGACAATCAACCCTGTTAGTATCTCAACCAAATGGGCGGATAAGTAGTCATGCAACGTTCTCGCTGCTGGTTAAAAACAGAACTCTGACTGGCAGCCAAAAAAAAAATGACTGGCCAAAATTGGATTCTCTGTGGTTTTATTACTACTCTAGTTTTAATACCATGATACACGTGATTCCATAGGGTAGTTCTACGCTTTTAAAGAAGAAGGTCTACTATTTCTCGTACCATAAAGGGCCGAGGGGCTACTCTACGTAGATCTATAGAGAGAATCCATTTTTCAAGAGATTCCTCCTTAGTCTCTATTAATTTATGTGAATTTGCGCGTATAGTGCTTCGGCATGGCCGTCAAGACGATCGCGTAGGGTGGAACGGGGTATATTGAAAGTACGGGCAGCGGCAGCAATAGTACGAATTTCTTGCTTCTTAATAGCCTGAATAGTTAATAGAAGCCTACCCTCTTGCTCTATTAAATTTTTAGAGCTTCGAGAGCGAATTGGTGGCATGGTGGGTGGTTGAAGAAGAAGGGTTTAAATCAATTGACGCGTTTTAGGGGAGGTGGCGGCTCGGTATTGAAATATGTGAGATGAGCGCATGGGCGAAGCGAACCTTGAAGTTGGAAGTTGTAGATGAAGATTGTGATGCTGTCCTGCAAAGACAACCTTGGAAGGAGATAAAGATGGAACTGCCAGTAATTACATGCTAGTAAGCATCACCAAGGCTTCTACGATCCCCTCCACGGGCTCCGGGATATATGTCCTTTTTTATGACTCAAAATAACCCCTGGGCATCTTCTGCTATACAAATCCCAGGTCAAGTTCTACACTACAAGATTCAACCAGTAAAAGAATCGACGCCTAAGAGATATGGCTATGGATCAAGGCTAATCCGAGGGCCTCGGTATTTTCGCTTGGCTTATGATACTCACATACTGAGGATAAGTCATCAAATTGGGGCTGTGGCGCAATTGGTAGCGCGTGCGACTCCAGTTCGCAAGGTTATCTGGTCGAGACGGGTCAGCCTCAATCTCTTTTTTTTTTCTTTTTGTTTTATTGTTTTGTTGTTTTTTTGTTATTGCCATTTCTTTCCATCTCTATCAATATTAATTTGCCGATTCGTTATTCTGAATGTTCATTTTGTGCACCCTAAATAAAGGCCGTATACTACGCGGCTATATAAGGGAGCGCTAAAATCATTGTGCTAATAATTACTAGAACACATATACTACTTAGAATCACAACGACCGTGATCTCTTTAGTGGGCAATTAGCTTATCGCTATAATGTTTATTTATCACTTACCGTCTAGTAAACCACCCGGGACTTAAACGTGAATAGCCGTAGCTTTCTCTTTAGTCTACAAATCGAAGGCTTCGTACAAAGAAATAAACTCTTAACCAATAACACTGACTCGTTATTTAGGTGAGAGGAGAAAGAGAGAGAAAAAAAAACATACAGATAGGAGATAAACACTATAGTAGTCACCAACTGTCCGGGTTCGGGTTCCCAATACCATCTTATCTACTCCGTACGGAATACAACATCGGATATGGAATTTATGCCGAAGCACATGTAAATTTGTTTGAGTTTGAGACAAGGATACAGATATTCCTTCCTAGATTTTTCCTCCAATCGACGTTCGAGCGGCAATTATGAGTTACAACACAGACAAACACGGTGTGCACCGTACACAATGCTGAATCCGAAGGGAGTACCTTCGTTAATTTGTCCAAGCACCGAAATCTCAGTATGCGAACGAACTACACATCTATAATATTACCAAGAATTCTGTACTTCTATCCCCACCAAGATATTGCTGTGCCCTGATTTGATGGAAGGGCTGCAGACTGGACCGAGAGGGAGCAACGATGGAGATGCATCATGCATTGAGACCCATTACAACAATGTTTAGATAGGAAGATTGATAGAGGTAAAAAGTATGTATTTAGATCAAATGGAATATAGAGAAAATAAAAAGAGATCGCAAAGCAGACTATCCACATACTAGTCTGCCCGCTTTCCCGTCAGACAAGGGGGTATAGAGATTCTATGGTCACATGATAATATGAGATGCGAAACAAATGATTAATTCGATTCGCACCGCGAACCGTCACTCGGCTGACATCAACCGAGGTCAACAAGTGATTGGAGCGTTTACTCGTCCTGCTTGGTCTCACTGCTGCTGCTCATGGCATTCTCAGCCTTCTCGATTGCGGAGGTGACCTGGTGCTCGGAGGTGTCGAGACCCAGATCATTCTGCATCCGGGTAATCTCGGCAATGGAGAGCTTGGGCATCTCCTGAGCGACCTGGTAGGGCCACTTGCCTTCGACGTGGGCCTTGGCGAAGATGATATCAACCTCCTCGAGATCACGGCCGGCGGTTTCACAGTAGAAGAACCAGGCGAAGGGGATAGCGATGAAGTTGACAAGCGCGAAGAAGAGGTAGATACCCCAGTCAGACTGGTTGGAGAACACAGGAGTGAACATAACGACGGCGAAGTTGGTGATCCAGTTCACGCAGGTGGAAGCGGAGGCAGCCTTGGTACGGGTGCGGAGGGGGTTGATCTCCGGGGGGTAGATCCAGGGCAGAGGTAGAGTAGTAAACGCAAAGAAGCAGATGAACAGGAAGATACCGACGATAGCACCCTTGGCATTTTGGGCGTTCGAATCGATAAGACAACCCATAGTGATGATGAAACTGAGACCCTGGCCGAGGAAACCAATCAAGAAGAGGTTACGGCGACCAACCTTCTCAATCATAAAGAAGGAGGGGATGGTGGCAAGGGCGTACACAGTGGCGAAGACACCTCCCAGAACCAATGGAAGCTTACCCTCCATATGCAAGTTCTGCTGGAACAGTAGGGTCGAGTAGTAGATAGCGGCGTTACAACCAGTAAATTGCTGGAAGAACTGGCCAGAGCAACCGATCATCATACGCTGGAAGTTCTGAGTCTTACCGCCAGTAAAGAGGATACCCCAGGTACTACCAGCTTCAACACTCTCCATAGCCTTAAGATCAGCCTTCATAAGGTTGAAATCGGCAAGCACATCATCTGCATCGACAGAACTATCGTTGAGCTGGGCGAGGACCTGAAGGGCTTCCTGGTCATGACCCTGCATGACGAACCAACGAGGCGACTCGGGGAGCATGAGAGCACCGGCAGTGACAAGGATGGCGAACAGAATCTGGAAGGCGACGGGGAACCGCCATTGAACCGAAGAGTTGACATAAGAGAGACCGAAGTCAAGCCAGTAAGCGATGAAGGTACCGACGGCGATGATAGCACCCTCGAAGCAAACGAGGAAACCACGGTTGTGAGCGCGCGAACACTCAGACTGCCAGACGGGGATAGTCGCGGTATCCATGCCGTTTCCAAGGCCGGAAATGACACGTCCAACAACGAACTGGCCCAGTCCCCAGTGGGGGCCGAACGAAGCAGTAGAGATAACAGTACCAAGGATCATGAGGAGGCCACCGCTCACCAGAAGAGGTGTGCGGCCAATACGTTGACCGTACATCATAGTGAAGATGGCACCGAAGAAACAACCAAGCTCGTAACAGGAAGTGACCGCACCACGCAGGACGGCGACGTGCTCGGAGTCACCATAGAGAGGAGGGAATTCCTTGGTGAATTGGTCACCAGAGATGATACCGGACATCAAACCCTGATCATAACCGAAAAGTGAGAATCCGACAACGGATGTAAAAGTGATGGCAATATGGAGCTTCTTGCCCCGTAAGCCGGAGGTTGTGGTCCACATTATGAACGTCCTCTATTAGATGAAGAGAGGAAAAGACCAAAGGGACATGGGGAAAAGAAAAGAAAGCTCAGACACTTTGGGGGGGGGGGGAATATTTCCGTCCCTTATATGCATCCCTCATTGTCGATTAGCTCAATGCCAAGAGGAGAAAGGTTTTGAAGTGACATCGGCGGCGCTACAACATTGGATAGGCAAGTCTCGCGACCCGCCGTGGGGACCCAGGAGGGTCAAGGAGGGTCAAGGACCATATTAGTGGGGTTGCGGGGATGCGACGAGAAATTTGTTGTTGTAGAGACTACTGCTGAGGAGGGGAGAAAGCAGAGGAAGATTCATAATTTATTTCATAGTAACGAAGCAGGGTATATATACTCCAAGGTATATACCCTGTCAAAGTCATATGAAGAAAGCTGAGTCTGCCAACAGGGATGGCAGGGCCCAACAAACGTCTCGCGCGTTTGCCAAGTGCACCAAGCGGCTTAGATTTACCGTTTTGGGTTTTGGTAATATATCAAACCGCGCTAGTTCGAGCAACGTTGTATGTACTTCAAAGTCGCGTATATCCGCTACGTAGGGGCCTTCGAATTTTTTATTTTTTATTATTTTTTTCTCATGGCTTTTGTGGGGGGTGGATCACATTAATTCCTGGGGGCGCCTGGAGGCGTCTGGAGGTTGCCGGTGCGGGAGACGTATAGCCGGAAAAGGAATCTTATCCGACCGTCTCTCCACGACCTGCAACCACTCTGCAACCATGGGGAATTGGAAATTGGGGGTGGGGTCAGGGGCCGAAGGTTCTGTATGGTCGTTCCAAGGTTCGTCTGCAATTAGTAGTCCATTGGTTTTTCTTTTTTTCCCTTTTTTTCATCTTATTTGGTCAAGTCTCGATGCCGATTGGTGTTTAAGAGTAACCCAAGTATTACGTACTACAAGAGATCTCGTGAAAGTTGCCTTTTTCCTTCCGACCTTCGCCATACCCGGTGCCCCGGCCGATTACGGCGACGGTCCAGCCGTACAGGTACATTAATTTCCTCGGGGTTTTTGTGTGGGATGCCGTCTTGAGCAGTGATCATCGGGATCACACGAGACATAGCGACATCCATGAATGAGATCTGTGGGAGCTAATAGAACGTGTCATCTAGTACATATATATATTTTTCGGAATATGGCCGAAGAAGCCCTGAAGGAACCATTCCGGCAATTATTCGGGTACTGACACATATGTTTGTAACGTCAAAAAGAAGTCCAAAAGTTTGAGAGTTCTTACGAAGTACAAGCAAAAGTGGATCCATTGGCCAAGGTATATCCGCATTAGGAAAGGATAATCTTTTCCAAGACAGTTGGTTCCGTGGATTTTCACAGGTAAGCACTCTTCCAAGCGGTGGGGATATTTGCTTACCACTACTTGGCTCATCAACCAAGCCTTCCAAGAATTTCTTTTCCAAGATTCCAAGACATCCCAAGACAATACCAAGAAACTTTATGGAGGCGAAGCATTTGAGAAACATGGCTTAGCCATATATATCTTGGCGGGAGTATCAAGTCCATATATTGAAAAAAATATATATATATATATTTGAAGGGGAAAAAAATATTCACACGGGCCCACACAAGATCTCGGGTAAACACTGAAAAGGCAATTTCCTGGACTCGAGCGGGCATTGTCGGACAATTCACCTCCGATTTGACATTTGGCTAACTCTGCTTGCGGAAAAGGAAAAAAAAAAAAAAAAAAAAAAAAAACCAAAACTAGATTGATAGACGTGGTAGTGCGAAGACCTACAAACCTTGGAAGATTAATTTTCCTAAACCAATGAAATAATTCCTTGGGCTGTACATATGGACCTCACGGCAATCCTCGATACCTTCCCGAATAAGAACATGCGCTCTGTCCGCGATGATGCCGTATTCGAGATGAGTATGTACTTGGCACCCGTTTGGCCACCCGTTTGTGGTCGTCACTTAAGAGGGTTCCCGACTTATCAGAAGAGAGGAACGGGAGCCGATACTTCGCGGGATACGGCTTGCAGATCACGGCAAAGCCATCTGAACTCAAAGCAAAACTCTCAAAACGCCTCCATCCGCCTCCAGTACGTGGCGCTTCTAAGACCTTGGCGTCCCCTCGAGTTCCTTCTGTTCCTTGTGTTCCTCGTGGAAATCAATCTTGAAAACAGGCTGCCATGTGGCATGGCTGAACTCTCTGCAAAACTTCTTTGTGATCTGAGTGACTTCCAAGGTTGGAAATCAATCTCACTCTCGCTGATTGGTTAGGAAGATATTGGTCTCCGTTGACGTCTAGAAGCCATACCTATTAACCAGAGTATTTCGTATTAATCAGAGTGTTTCGAGCTATCTCGGTAATGTTTACAAGCGAGGTGGTGAGTGAACAAAAATTTGATGCGGCCAGCATTCAATTCTAGGCAATGATAGGGCGGGGAATATTTCAATGCACGAAATCTCAGGTAAACTACGTATATATGTACACTATTCCAATGATCAAAGAGGAAAAGTTGCGTTTTAGCATAGCTAAGTAAATGTCCTGCCCGCTCTACATGAATCTCAGTTTGCGAATATCTCTCTCCAAGCTGAAAGAAAAACTAGAATAAAACGAGGACACCCTCATCGTAACATAATCTGTAGAGTGTCTGATGTGTTCGAACTGCAGATGCATGAAGGATTCACAGCCCAAATGATATCAGAAAGGGAGAAGGGAAAAACGGAACTCATATAGAACGTTTATCCTACACAAATTTACTCATTCTATTGGCAATTTATCTATCTCAAAATTCATTTTCCAAACGTCTGAGCATTATTGTAGAGAAATATATAGTTTTATTGCGGGGATATACATTTGGTGGGGTATAGGTAAAATGGGGACGCCTCCCATACTCATTAGTATATGTAGTCTGCGTGGATCGGGGAAAGTCAAACCATCTGGAATATCCACAATGGTTGCGGTAAAACCGGGGAACCCTTTATAACGTGGATAGACAAGCACACCTGCCGTAGTGGCAATGCATGGTACATACATATATGGATCGCTGGTTTACCCGGTGATACCAGACTCGGTCTTACCGGTTTTCTGTAAATCATTAGCATCAAATCGTCAAAGAGAAGAATGAGAAAGGGGCCATACCAGAGTACGGTGGTACTTGATGCCAACGTTGTTTCCACTGGCCGTGTCGTACGGCACAGGGCTGGTGTAGTCGTAGGTAGGGGGAAGACCGTGGTAGGTCTTCTTCACAACCTCAGCGATACCATTTCCAGCAGAGCACTTGCCCTTGGTGGCAGGAACGGCCCACTCGGAGGAATAGTTCTTGGTAGACAGAGGGCCAGGGTAAGTCTGGTTGATGTAGGCATTGCTGGTATCAACTTCCCAGTTGACATAGCCGGTCTTCTCAGCGACCATATTGAGCAGGTTGGCGCCACAATCCCAGCGGCCAAGGGAGGGCAGGCCCCAGTTAGCAGACAGGGAGGCGATGATTGAGTAGTGTGTGTAGAAAGTGTCGTCGGTGGTGCCCTTCAGGTGCTTCGGGATAGCACCTCCAACCAAGAAGCTGAAGACCCGGTTAGGGTGGGAGTAGTTACCGCTCTCATCAAAGGTAAGCAGCACTAGGCTATCCTTGTTGAAGTGCTCGTTCTTCAGCAGGGGAGGCAGGAAGCGAGCGACCCAGTCGCCGGCCACAGTGATGTCGGTATCGTGGGCATCGTTGGTCATGTTCGGTGTGATGAACATGTGCTGGGGAAGGCTGTGGTGTTCTAGGTCCTCGTAGAAAGTGGTGAAATTCTTTATTTGGCGCGGGCGCACGGCGTCGTCGGTAACCGAATCATACAGAACTAGTGGGTTGTGCTTGCGCACATACTGGTTCGGGCCGCTGAGGGGATATCGCATGCCCTGGTAGCCCGCATAAGGCATGTCCTCTTGGTACTCACCCCAAGCGATGTGCTTGGTGTCAAACAGATCGGCAATAGTTGAGACATTGGCAGGGATCTGCAGGAAGTCATCACTGTCCATGCCGAAAGTGTCACCCCCGGCAGAAGCACAGTAGTTGGGTTCGGAAGGGTGAGTGACGGCAAAGTAGTTGGTCAGGAGGATACCCTCCTTAGCCAGCTTAGACAAGTTCTCATCTGAAGCAGCGGTTTCATAGTCCTGCAAAGGAGTGAGCCCGTGGCCTTTATTATTCATGCAAGAGGGAAACCCACCGTGTTCTCTAGCCAGATGTTCACGAAACGATCAAAGGCCAACCCCTTGACATTTGACACAGGGGAGTAAGGAAGGACCGTATCACGGGCTGCATCGATCTCAGCCTGAGTTGGTGTCTTTTCAGTGGTCGTCTTGGCCGCGGCCAGGGCCAGGGCCCCGACGAACGCGAGAAGAGTTTGTTTGGTGAACATGTCTGAGATCGCAGAAGTAGCAGCTGCGACGAGAAAAGTAACAGAGGAGTAGATCGGTCGGGCGACACGCGATCTTATACTTGAGCCAGCCTTGGAGGCATGGCATTCCTCTCATCGGCTGGAAGAATGCGCTATGTTACACGGCACTTCTAAGCGATACCACGTTGTGATCGATGCAGGGCTAACTGGCTGCATTTTCAAACCTTTCAAGCCTCCAGGGCTTTTATCCCGAGGGGTAATGACCTGAATTGAATGAAAGTCACCAGGTTCAATTGGGTGAATAGCAAATAGTGGACCGAGTACCTTCCCGCAGGTGGTCCTTGCGCTGCACGTTGTTATTGTCCGTGCCCTAACTGGCTGACCACGAGACTGACTGGGGTCAGGTACAACACTCGGCTGACCATACACTGGGTTGCTTTTACCAATGTGGTCATAGCTATAGATCAATTCATATGTTATTTCGTATAAAAGCTTCAAGTGCCGAGAGGGACACATGCTTACCTTTTCTTGGCTTCTCCTTTAACCCTTAGGCTCCACCATCCACTTCTATGTGATATCATTTAGAAGAACTACATGGAGTCATCAAGTATTCCGGTCAATTATCTACATAAACATATACATATGGACGGAGTATACTACATAGTATATAAATTAAAGTTTGGGTTATGTCTGTTTGTCTCAGGCATAGCTAAGACCAGATTAGTTTTTAGTTCATGAATGCAAACTGCAGCCCTTCTTCTCTTCTACCCCCTGCTATATACCATGTTAGTTGCCAATTTATGTACGATAAAAAAAAAGGAGGAAGACAAACCCAAGCTCCCCGAATCACGCTATTCCTGCAACCGCTCCCCCACTGTTATTAGTGCAAGTTTAAATAAAAGAATATGAAAGTGGATTGATGTTCAAAACTATGCGTCTAGATGCGGAATTTATGTTGCTGTGTAGATTGGTGCGAAAGGGATTGATGAATTACTGAAAGTGGTGGGTGGGGATGGGGTCTTTAAAGGTGGAAGAGGAAATGTGACTGGACAGCAGCCACCAAATAAGGAGGTGATGCGCCGAAGAAGCAAATGTAGAGTTTCTTTGCTCTTATTTTGACTGTTAACCTAATTAGACTTGTACCAGTATCGAGACTAGACACATTTGTCAACAAATGACCTCAATGACGGAATACCATACATGCATGTATATGGAGTCGAACGAAGATAGGGTGCAAATAAGGAGGTATATCGTTAATAAACGATATAACGCGACCGTTATTTTTGGGTTGAGATATGCATTTACAACGATGATATCCACAATATAAGTAGAATAAACGAGAGTACACATATAGAGGCATGAGCATACTACGCTGTAGAAGTGTGGGTTTTTATCGGGTTCATTTGCGAAGAATCAACCAGGCCAGACGCGGTTATTCGTAACTACAGGTTGCCTTAACTGCTGGTAAAGCTATCGCCAGAGTTGCCTAAGTTGGGGGCCCATGGCAAGCTGCAGTCGACGCTACGATGGTTATAGACATTGCCGACAGGGAGGGCGGCTAGCAGCAGCGGGAGGAGCACGAGAGAGAGGACAGACCTGTTATACATTTTATGGTAGACAATCAAGGTGTGAATTAATCCGAAGGGGCTGATTAACTAGATTGAGTCGTTGTGTCAGTTCCTCTGTTGCATTCTTTATCTCGTCCGGCATAAGTGGCTTGACCATATTTCGGTTCCTACCTTTCGCTTCGCCTAGTATAAAGCATTCCTAGAATGCTCGATGGTGCCTAAGTTGGATCCGTGGGGGCAAAATGAGAGGGAAACTAATGTGGGTTAGGCTTTACTAAATTATGATCGAGTTCCATCTACGTGACAGAAAACAGTGAAATACGCTCATGTGCTTAAATCGCAAGCGAAATTGCACCGGAGATAACCATAACCCTCTTATATACAGTTATAGGATAAAGCTAGTCCTATTGACCATCGTTTAAAAAAAAAAGCCATACACCGTAGACCTGGTAGGGCTAGATTATGGGGTTTGAGCCTTGGCGATCAAAGTTGGGGGCGGGTCGGGCCTTCCTTTTCGATCCTATCACCGGGACCAGTCTGTGCTTGGAATGTGGAAATTGAGTGACGATTAGAGGGGAAGGATTGGAATAGTCAAGATATCCCTGAACCCGGACTGTGTCGGTAAAACTGCCCCAGATGTAGTCTTTGCCCATATCTTGCGGTAAGTCATTTAGCCCGCCAGGTACCTACCACAAAGTGTCATCCGACTCCCCCGATTACCCCCCCTTGGCATTTGATCATGTTACCCTTCGCTTTCACGAGTTTTTACACAGCCCCCGATTTATACCTAGATGCTTGATATTCTAGGGCCCCAGGATGTGATATCACATTAGGTAAGGACCGGCTACCCAGGGCCGTGGGTGCCCGAGCTGCAGCCCCAGCCAGTTCAACTCCCGAAAGTGTTCAGTCGGTTAACACCTTGGAGTTCTTGTGTGCCAGACACACAAGAATTCTCATACTAGATCATATACATCTATTCACTTTACAATATGATTTCGCTCCTAGATCTACCTGTTGAGATCGTGCTGCTTATAATCGACTCCCTCTTCTCCCACACCGCAACAGAATCGAGCAACAATGACGCTTCTACCACAACCCAAAAAGACTTAAACTCGCTTTCACAAACAAACAAATGGCTATATGAACGGTTGGAAACCCGATTGTACAAGTTCAATGCACAACATTGTGGCCAAACATCATTGGCATTCGGCGCCTACGGCGGCTATGACACTGTCGTTCAAAGGTCTCTGGCAGTAGACTCGTCAAACATAACCAGAGATTTGAGGTTTCCAACACGAGACTGTCAAGTCTTCCATTCTCCACTTTGCTGGGCAGTTCAAGGGGGTCATGTCTCTATGATCAATACACTTCTTCAATCTGGCGCTGATATTCATGGGGAATGTTCCCACCATCGCTGTGATGCGCAGCTTCTTGGTCAGGCCGCAAGGAATGGCCATTTGGATATGATGAAAGATCTTGTGCGAAGAGGCCTCCGTCCAGAAATCATGTGGGAAACCAATTTCGCAAATTTGATAAATGACCAGCCAGCGCGCAAAGCCACTCTCCGTCTGGCTGCTGAGGGTGGCCATATACCGTGTGTGGATTACACTCTGGCTATGGGAGAGTATGAGAATCTCACATGCAAACAATACATGCATAAAATAGCGCTGATTGTGCCTGCCACAGTGGCAAACGGCCATATAGAGTGTGCCCTGTTTTTGCTAAGTCGCAGCGGTATCCTTGAGAGAACTGGTTTCTGTAATTGTGGTGGCAAGCCTGCTAGGTCTCTAGCTTCGGATATTCCCAAACTGACTATGGTACTGGAAGATCCATGCGCGATGGAGAAGTATGGCCCTATGCTTCTTTACCTAGGAGCTGCTACTGGTTGTCTACCCCTGGTTGAAGGGATGGTTCGATTGGGTGTCCATGTTGATACAAGATTTCGCGGGGGCAACACGCCGCTATGTCTTGCAGTAATAGAAGATCGAGCACCCGAAGAAGTAAAGAAGCTGTTGGAGCTAGGCGCCGGAATCAACGTGGGGAACTCGCAGAATCAGACACCGCTCTACCTTGCAACTCTACTCCGGCTCAAGGGAGTTATGAAGATGCTCCTGGATGAAGGTGCCGATACTGAAGCACGCGGGACTCGATCCAGGATTGCTCAAACACCGCTTTGCCTCGCTGTTGCCAACTTTGGGGCTCCCCTGTCGAATACAAACTACTCGAGACGCCCTAGCCGCTCTCCCAGCAACGAGATTGTGTCATTGTTGCTGGACAATGGGGCTAACCCCGACTATGCAGATCCAGAGTTTGGAATCACTCCTCTCTGGCTTGCTGTTCGGGGAAACAGCACGCTTCAGCCGTTTAGTAGGGATGATCTTGTGCGGTTACTTCTTGAGAAGGGCGCAGATCCGAAACTAGCATCGCGAAATCAGTCAATCTTGTTCTGGGCTGTATCGCACTGTCACTACGATACTATCAAGGTACTTCTTGATTGCGGTGCCAATCCTAATGACTATGCGCGCAATTTCGATGGCTCAAAAACCCACCGCTCAGGGGCACCGCTCTCGCCCCTGGCGAAGGCTATGAAGCTGAAACATTATGGAACGGCTGAGCTTTTGCTTGATTACGGGGCAGATCCTCTTGTTTCGCATTGGAAGGAGGAGACGTCAATACTTCATGCGACCAGATCAATGAACTGTTCGTTCATCGAAAAGATGATTGCCAAGGGCCTAGATGTGAATGAGTCTGTGATGGGCCAGACACCTCTCCATATGGCTGTCTGGCAAGGTAACGCTGAAGTGGCGGAACTACTGCTTCGTCGGGGAGCAGATCCAAACCTCACCGTTGGGGGAACCTCGCGCTATTCATCAAAGTCAATTTTGTGGTGGGTTTTCTATGGTTCTTACCCAAGTGGTGCAGCTATGGTAGAGTTGCTATGTGCGTATGGTGCCAGGGAGCTATATGATACTAATGTTTACACGGACGGACTCGCACCGAAATTTGTTCCTCCAGTCTCGGGATACCTATAATATGACAAAGAGGTGGATTGTTTCTAATAGTTTCCCTTGCGGATCATCATAGTCTATAAGATAGCTCTGCCACTGCCCGGCAGCCAATTCAGCAGTGGTCCAAACACATCAACCAAAGACATGTATCATATCTAGTTCTAACAGTCGGTACGCTGCGACTACATAGGGACAAGACAAACATAAAACAATACCAATCCTTTGCTCGTTATTCTTGGCTCAATGACTATTACATTGCTATCTTGACAGGTAAAAGAAACAAGAGAAAAAAAAAATTAATGAAACCATCAATTCGGAGAAAGCGGCACGCGGCTCGTTCTCTGCCGACATTGGGTCAGGTTTGAGCCAAGAAAAGCCCCCTGGTGACATGCGGAGGGTAACGTAAAGAACATGAAATGAAAATAAGATGAGCACCAGGGGAGAACGTGCACGCCAGGGGTAATATTTTTTTTTACACAGAAAGACCGCAAACACCGTCGTTGCTCAGGATTTACTCAGGCTTCTTGCCGACCATGAGGTACATGGGGGTGAAGAGGTTCTTCTGAGCACCTTCGACCAGACAGTCAGCAGCCAAGGCCAGGCTGTCGGCGGTCTTCTGGGAACCCTTGGGGAAGAGACCGATGGACTCGCCGGCACCGACGAAGCGGTGGGCAAGGCCACGGCCCCACCAGGTCATGCGAGCAATGGTGAAAAAGTCCCAGGCCGAACCCATGTGCTTGAAGGAGCCCGCCAGCGGGTAGTACCAGGGAATAGGGTCGGGACGAGCAGCGAGATCCTCGTGGTGCTTCAGGTTAAATCCAGCGTTCTTCATAGCTTCGAGACCCTCGGAGATACGGACCATGTTAGAGATACCGTCACCCTGCTCGATACCGAGACGAATGCGACGGTGCTCAGCATCATCGTTGTTGTACTCGTCGGTCATAAGCCACTCGTACACAGCGAAGGTACCACCGGGCTTCAAGACACGGAAAATCTCGCTATAAACACCAACAAGCTCGGGGGCGTGGACGGTGGCTTCAATAGCGTATACGGCATCGAAGCTGTTGTCGGGGAAGCTCATCTGCATAAAATCGCCCTTAACGAAGGCCATCTTGTCCGAGAGACCCTGCTTGTGCGCGTAGTGGGTAGCGCGGTCGATCTGGTAGTCGTTGTTGTTCAGACCGGTGACGTGAGCACCGGTGAACTTGACCATCTCGCGGGCAGGACCACCAACACCACAGCCAACATCCAGAACCTTCATATCTTCCTTGATACCAGCCTGGAGGGCAAGGTAGTGCTCGTGGCGGGCAATGGCCTGGTGGAAAGGCTCACCGTAGGCGAAGCGGCAGAAGTGGAAGGAAGAACCCCATCCGTACTCGTAGAAGTCGGTGGCTAGGTTGTAGTAGCTATAAAGACTCATTAGTATGAGGAGCGTCGATCAATTGGGGGGGGGGGGGGGGGGGGGTTCCGAACGTACTGTCGGGTCAAGGTAGCATATTCAGCCTTACGGGCCTATCACGCAGGAATTGTTAGCGCTGAGAATCAATTATGTCGGATGCGCACTGCCATACCTCACGGATCTCGGGTGTCTCATCGGCGGCATTTTGGTTGTCCCAGTGCTTGAAGTACTCGTCGATGGCAGCCTTCTGGGCGGCGGCGTCCTTTCCGCGCATGGCAGCGAGACCACCCTGGGCCTTGGCAGACTTGCCGTGCAAAGCCTTGTTGAAGGCGGCATCACGCGCCTTATCCTCACGTTCCAATGCAGAGGGAGCCATGGTGAAGAAGCGAGTCGCAAAGATTAAAAGGGGTAGATTGTAAGAGGCAAACAAGCGTCAATTTCCAAGATTTTCCAAGAAAGAAAGACAAGGTGAACCAAGACTGGAAATACCACAAGAGAAGCGAAGTGAGAGTACAATTGAAGGGAATGGATAGCGACTTGGAGAAGTAGGAGAAAGGGGAAATAAATAAGAGTCGAATCCCAAGCAACTTTTTGGCAATCCAAAGTGGAGAGCCAATCAGGGGGTTCCTCCGAACGACTAGACCGAGCTTTGTCCTCTTGGGGGGGCAGTTTGGGGAGTGGCCACACTCTTTTTTCCTCGCGGGACACCGACTTCCGGCCTGTGGCTGAGTCGGACGCTGGGCCACCCGGTTGGAAAAAAGGTGACCTGATGGATTATGTACACGTGATTCACCAGCCACATTATGCCACACGCCACTTCCATCGATCTTGATAATCCAATATTGGAAGCTCTCACTTCTCCGATCAACTAGCCCCATATTATCCGAGATGCCTCCCCAAATTAAGCATGACTTGAACCGATCCGGTTGGGAGTCGACAGACTTCCCCTCTGTTTGTGAGAACTGCCTTCCCGAAAATCCCTACGTGCAGATGATCAAGGAAGATCATGGCGCAGAATGCAAGATTGTAAGTATTTTTTTTTGGGCTCCCTCGAAGCTAGTTCATAGCCAAATACTAACTACTTAGTGTACGCGCCCTTTCACTATCTTCCGCTGGAAGGCCGATCGGACCTCCCGCCAAAAGCGATCCATCATCTGCCTCACATGCGCGCGCCTGAAGAACTGCTGTCAATGCTGCATGCTAGATTTGTCGTTCGGTCTTCCCCTTGCCGTCCGTGATGCTGCTCTCAAAATGGTCGCTCCAGGACCGGAAAGCTCCATCAATCGCGAGTATTACGCGCAGAACAACGAGAAGGAAATTGAAGAGGGACGCGGTGCCATCGAAGAATACGAGAAGACAGACGACAAGGCCCGGGAACTCTTGCGACGCCTCGCAAATAGCGAACCATATTACCGCAAACCGCGACGAATCGAAGCACCTGCCGAGGAAGAGAAAGCAGACGAAGGTACAGCGACGGATCAACCACGAACAAACAGTCGCTATGGAAATGGGCCCGGTCCGGTTCGCACAAGTGAAAGCCGTGTCGGAAACCGCCTTCCAGGCCGTGGAGGACGAGGCGGTGGGCGTGGTGGTCGTCCATTCCCCAGTACCACTCAGTTGCCGCCCTCGGCTGCGGATATTCTTCCCCCTGCGGATCCCAACGTTACTTCCCTGTTCATTACAGGCGTGGAAGATGATCTCCCCGAACACGCGCTCCGCACATTTTTCAGCGAATTCGGCCAGCTCCGGTCGCTTATCTGCTCCCACCGCTCTCACTGTGCTTTCATCAACTACGTCAACCGCGCGGACGCGGAAACCGCCGCAAACCACTGCCAAGGCAAAGCCATCATTCAGGGCTGCCCTCTTCGTGTTCGTTGGGGAAAGCCGAAGCCACTGGATAACCTGGACCGCGAAGAGAGAATGCAAAATGCCCGCGAGGGTCGCCAGACTGTGGGATCCGTTGGCAAAGGCAAGCAAGCAGACCGACGAGCTATAACCTCTGCAGGCGAGGCTGCTGGCCAGGAGAAAGCTCAGCCTCATGTTGTTGCACCGCCGCCCGGATCGGGTGAGGTCCAGTACGCCAGCATGAATGGCGATTGAACAAAATTTGTACGGAGATACCATTAAATCAAATCGAGGTTGCATGTAACTTAGGGTTCGGAGCGGGCGTTATCAAGGATTGGGTTATTCTATACAGATCTATGTACTTCAATCGAAAATACCCCGAAGACGCCAATTAATAAAAGAGTCGGGTATCTTATAATACATGTCCGGTCACTGTCGTAGCTTATTTTACTGTTCCATGTGCCGTCAGTTTGACGTATGTTTGCTGATTGGCTTCGACGTTGTTTTCAGTGTCGTTTTTGGACTTTGAATGGACTCGGAGAGTGCGCTCAGATTCAGCTGAGCATCGTGGCAGGGGAAAAAACCTCCCATCATGATGAGCAAGCCTTGTGAATCTTCACATCCTGATCGCCAACTTTGATAGAGTCGTTATCACCGCGTTCGATCTGGTCGTGGATATTGAGTTCTGTAGAAACAATCGGTCGTTAGTAAACAGTTTGTACGAGCACTATGAGCACCAAGCCACGAAGTGGAATCGCGAGATTAATCACACATACCCCACTTAGCAGCTTCATCTCCCTGCTCCCTCGAACCTTGGACGATGTTGTGGCGGAGGATGTTCGCAACCTCGATCGCATGGTTGATTTGCATTCCGGTATCGACGGCTGGGCGGCGGTTCTTTTCAAAGTTCTGGCGTGCTTCTTGGCGTGCAGCAAGGAGGACTGGGAGATCGTCTATAACGGATGTCAGTATGAATGAAACAGATGCCTCGGTGGCGGGTGTGTTTGTCAAACGAACTGTGGAAGACAACCCGGGTAGACCGGAGGAGTTGCCTATAGGCACTCTTAGCGGCAGCAGCAGTGGAGGTGGCCATAGTGAAAAGCGGAATGTGAATGTCACAGAGAAGTATAGACGTGAGTGTATGTAGGAACAAGTCGAGAAGCACAGGGTTGCAAATTGTCGCTGCGGATGATCGGCACGGACAAGGATATGGGACGAAGTTATAGGTAGTACTGCAGATGCGATGTGGGAGTTACAATTGTCTGAAAAAAAATGCAAAAATCGACCAGACTAGAAAATTTGAATGTACAAGTCAACAGAAGAAGTAAGACCTGTCGCCATCGATACTCCAAAACATATGACCCGTGATTGGCTGGAGGGGCGGATATTGGGGGCAGAAAAAAAGGTACGCAAAAAATTCCATCGCGGGACCCAACGCTCTCCACACACAACTTGGTCCTATCACCAATACCATTATACAATGGCTGCTGCTCAAGTTGTTGACATTTCCCTCCCTACCTTGCCTCAGGGCTGGGCTGGCGAGAAGGATTTCAAGATTGTCGGTGCTCTGTCCGGTGCCACCAAGCGCAACGTGGAGCCCGTTGGCCCGCACTTCCTGGCTCACGCTCGCCGAGTAAGTTCTCCAGATTCACTAAATTTTCTTTTCGTCAAAATTAACCACCTTTAGTCCCGTCACAACCGTACTTTCTCCGAGGATGAGCGCCTCCAGGCCCAGAACAGCGTCAAGAAGACTGAGACTGAGGAGGATGATGATATCTCTGAAGATGAGGACCCCATGATGCTTGCCCGTGAGGCCAAGGACTGGAAGGTCAGTAATGTCACATTCATCGTGGTTGGTTAATTTCTAACTTCTAGCAGGGCCAGGATCACTACGCCGTTTTGGGTTTGAAAAAGTACCGCTGGCGCGCAACCCCCGAGCAGATCAAGCGGGCTCACCGCAAGAAGGTCCTGCGTCACCACCCTGACAAGAAGGCCGCCCAGGGTAACACCGACGAGAACGACAGCTTCTTCAAGTGTATCCAGAAGGCCACCGATCTGCTTCTCGACCCCACTCGTCGTCGCCAGTTCGATTCCGTCGACGAGAACGCCGACGTTGAGCCCCCCACTAAGAAGCTCACTGGTAGCAAGTTCTACAAGGCCTGGGGCCCTGTTTTCGTTGCCGAGGGTCGCTTCTCCAACAAGCAGCCTGTGCCCACACTCGGAGACGAGAACAGCACCCAGGAGCACGTCGAGACTTTCTACAACTTCTGGTACAACGTTGACAGCTGGAGGACTTTCGAGTACCTCGATGAGGATGTGCCTGATGATGGAGAGAGCCGTGACCAGAAGCGTCATGTCGAGAAGAAGAACGCCAACGCCCGCCGCAAGCGCAAGACTGAGGACACCGTCCGTCTGCGTGAGCTCGTTGACGAGTGTCTCGCTTCTGATGAGCGTATTAAGAAGTTCCGCCAGCAGGCTCGTGCCGGCAAGGACGCTAAGCGCCTCGCCAAGGAGGAGGAGATCCGCCGTCTCAAGCAAGAGAAGGAGGATGCCAAGGCCGCCGAGGAGCAGCGCAAGAAGGATGCTGAGGAGGCCGCCAAGGCTGACCGTGAGAAGAACAAGAAGGCCAAGGAGGCTGCTAAGAACGCTTCCAAGAAGAACAAGCGTATCCTCAAGGGTTCCGTCAAGGATGTCAACTACTTCGCTGCCGGTGAGCCCACTGCCGCTGATATCGACGGTGTCCTCACTGATGTCGACCTCATCATGGGCAAGATTGATGTTGATGAGCTCGCCGTTCTGGCTGAGAAGCTCACCATCGCCGGCACTGATAGCGCTGCCGTCAAGACTGCTTGGTCTGGCGAGGCTAAGCGCCTTGTTGATGCTGGTAAGCTGAAGGCCGGCGAGGCCAAGGTCTTCGTTTAAATATTCTTGTCTACCAGATAGATGAGGGGCAGCCTATATACCTAGGCTTTCCTGATCATGACTATTCACGCCACATAGAGTAGAAAAATACAAGGTGCTCTTATCTCAACGCAGTGTAGCATCTATCATTCGTAATTATTCCAAGGTTGTCTTGCTTCACACGGTCCTCCTCGATCCCGCACTCTTCACCGGGCAAAACCGTTGGCTTTGAGACTACGGACTGTGTCCAAATTCCAAGGTTACTGCTTTCAGCCAACTGCATATCCGACCACTCCCAGGCACGTGATTGGTCGTGGATCGAATAGTCCCTCGCTTTCTGATCATCTGTTTCTAGGCTCATGTTTCCAGTGACGGGCCTCAACAGGCTGCCTACGTGGACGCGATGGATGTCTCTGGCGAGGGTCAGTATGTTTAAAAGTGAACCCAGATAAGTTCATCGTATTAATTAATGGAGGCACTTAGAGCGACAAGAACCCAGTCTTCGGAAGATTATACGAGTTGCCAAAAACAGATTGCTTAAATATGGACACCCCCAAAATATAGAGCTTGAAGCCGAGAATATGCGCTATATTGCCAAAAACACGACCATCCCGATCCCCCACGTTCACGAGATCCAAATCCACGATGGTTGCGTTCAGTCTATCTTAATGGACTATATCGAAGGTCAAACGCTGCAGGATGCCTGGTCCAGTATGATCCCTTCACAAAAAATGTCCGTCGCGCAGGAACTGCACGGATATATACAGCAACTACGAGGGCTAAAGTACGAACATTCGAGACTTTTCAGTCATAAAAACATATATACCCGACACCCAATTCACCTCGATGAGTACCTATTTTCGAGATTGACGACCGCGGTCCCAGATTTCGTGCGAAATACTACAGCCACTACACAGCCGGAGGATAATATAGTCTTCACGCACGGTGATCTGGCACCGAGAAATATACTGGTTGACGATACTGGCCATATCACCGCAGTGTTGGATTGGGAGCTTGCCGGCTGGCAGCCTGAATGGTGTGAAACTGTTAGAGCGTATACGTTTTGCAATGATATTCCTGGCTGGACTGCCTATTTATCAGCTGTTTTTCCGCCGGACCATGCCACAGAGTATATGGCTGTGGCATTTGCTAGACATATGACACGATGAATTGGATGCAATCTATGTATCTAAACAATATCCATTTTTGAAGCCATCATATCATTTCCCTCTCTCATGAATTCACATCCGGCATTCTATACTCCCGCTGGAAAAAGGTCTACTCTGGAAAGATATGCGAAGAACGACAGAGAACAGACCCCAAAATGGATGCGAGCCTGAATTAACCCGAGGATGGCCTGGGTATCCTTCTGTGATAAAGAAGAGCTAGAAGGCTACGTTGGAGTGATCATGGAAATCGCCAATTGTGGTCATACTACTTAGGCCTGTATGTACATCGAGGATGAGTCTAGTGGCCGGTCCTTACCCCTCTAGAACACATGTTACTCCTAGCAATATGTTCCGAGATAACGTAATCTCAATCCCCCGCAAAGAATATGCCAACCGCGGCCCAATTTCCCCGAGTTTAATGACTATTTCCTAGGCTTCATGATTAGTGATCGAGTCTCCATCCCCAGGTGAAAAGCCGAGGCGTGGACTGACATATAAGTCATCAACATATCTCAGCAAATAGCGAAGTAAACCGTAATCTAGTTCATTTTCGGCGACCACAATGATTTTCGACCCAGACACTATCGACATTCCTAAGTCTTACGAGACTCTTTCATTGACCGATGTGAAAGTCTCCCACTACCCGGCCGGGGCGGTTGAAGCTACCCCTGTTGTTGTGGTGACACTGAACCGACCGGAAAAGCACAATTCATTCACTCTAGAGATGATGCATGTGTTTGAGAAGATATACCCTATGTTTGATGTTGATGAACGCGTCAAAGTTGTGGTGCTTACCGGTGCTGGCAAAATGTTCTGTGCTGGTGCGGATCTTGAGCGAGGATTCAGTGGAATGGAGAAGGAGAGAAACAAGGATCACCGCGATAGGTAAGACAACGAAGCTTCGGCCGAGAGCTTATGTACCAGCTCCGCTAATACAGATATCAATAGCGGCGGCCGTCTCGCCTTAGCCATTCACCGCTGTCGCAAGCCTACTATAGCGGCCATGCAGGGCTCCGCTGTTGGTTTGGGCATGACAATGTCTCTACCGGCTGCCATACGTATTGGCTGCCAGAAATCTAAGTACGGATTTGTCTTCCCACGGCGGGGTCTGACGATGGAATCAAGCTCTTCATTCTTTCTCCCCCGGTTGATTGGTTACTCTAATGCTCTTTACTTGCTCACAACTGGCGGTATCTTCCCGCCTACATCGCCACATTTTGGGACGTTGTTCCAGGAGACATACCCTGATCCAAATCAGGTAGTCGCACGTGCATTAGAGCTTGCCACAGAAATTGCAGAGAATGTTAGCCCCATGGCATCATATCTTTCACGAGAACTCATGTGGCGGAACCCAGGGAGCGCCGAGGAGACTCACCTAGTTGATTCGGCGGTGTTATACCATATGTTTAGTGGGAAGTATGCTTTCTCCAACTCATTTCATCAAACATTCTTCGAAATATTCGCAAGATAAAAAGCAATATTGACCGTGTTATAGGGACTCAAAGGAAGGTGTCAAAGCATTCTTCGAGAAACGAAAACCACATTTCAATGCAACCCTTGAGGGCGATGCACCGCCCAGCTTTCCTTGGTGGTCTGATGTTGATACCGGGAGACGTCCGAAGGCAAGCAAGGCGAAATTATAGGCAAGGGCGACTGCCGTTCACCAGCCCAGAATGTGCACACATAGGTACAGGGTACAACGAGTAAGATAGTGTAACTAGCTCGAAATATGATACTGAGGGTTCTTGGCACAGCCATGCAAGAAACGAAGAGATCGCCACATGGTAGTAAATCGAAGTGAATATTCGTCCAGATATTCCTTTAGAAATACCCTCTTGTTGAATCTCGACGGTACAGAGCGAATGTATCCCAAGAAAGCAAGCGGGTCCGGGAGGTTGTGGAACTCTTTTTAACCGCATTCCCTCTGAGATAAAGTTGAAACTGAATCTATGCAACAGCCCCTTAAGGTCTCCATAATTTCTAGCTCCATCTAGCTCCACTTGTGTAACTCAACCTCATCTCA